CCCCAAAACCCCAAAACCCCAAAACCCCTGAATGAGATAAAGTGGAAGAATAAATGTGAGAAGATGATGATTTAAACTTAATTATAATTTATCAAACTTATAATTTAACAGTAATGGGTGGAAGAGAGAGCTCTCTTAAGGTAACTTAGTCAAATCATCTAACTTCAATTAGGATCAAGCTTGGTGTTCAAATAATAATATGAATTGCAGGAATTGGTTCACTGAAGTAGAAAATGTAAATACTGAGGCTAAGCGAACCTCGCCAATGCCTAAAACAGAGTTGCAATAATTGCTAAAAGACTAAAAGCAAATGGGAAAGCTGAATCATAATGTTCAAACTACTCAGCAGTCTACTCTGCCTGGTACTGGCAACTACAAGAACGACATATTTGCAAGTGACGAATAAAGACTAGATTTTAAGTCAGCGTTAAAGCAGTAAAACAGAATTGATAGATTAAGCATGCTGGTAGGCAAGGCTCCCCGCTTGGAGTTAAAGGTACTTTATAAATTTAAGAAAATTTATGTTCTAATTAATCTTATAATTTTATAGGTTTTGAGTTCAGCTTTTTTGGAAAAAGGAGAGGTTTTGTATTTAAATCCACTGGGTTTGGAAGAGAACAGATCTTTAAGAAAAGTGAGTGACGGCTTTACATACTTCGGGTGCAAGAAGGCAATCAGAAAAACGCCTAAAGTAATCAACTCCTAAAATCAGATAAAAGTTTATAAAAAACAGTCGCAGATAATTGACAATAACTCCAACCTGAAAAACACAGATAACTTTTCTGCTTAGATGGGAGCTACAGGTGCAAGTCTAGATGAAATGAATGACTCCAAGAATGTCTCGTATGATGTAAGAATGCAGCATTTTAATTTATTAGAAAGTATAGAAGGAGATAGTAAATGATTTTGTCATTCCCACTAAAAACGAGGAGGAGAAGGAGAAACACAGAGGTAGGCAGTTTCAAATCTACTTTGACCCTGACTCTTTCAATTATAAGATTAAAGATCTAGGAGTAGGCTACGGTGCATTCGTTAAGTTGACCAGACCAATTGTCTTAAGAGACAATTTCCTGCTGAATATGGGCGAGTCTTACATCGTTGCAAATCTTTTCAAATCCTAAGATGATATGATCGGAATTGTAGGAGTCAATAAAGTACCAATGAAACTTAGATTAAAAATATTCTCAGTAGTCAAAGCAGATTAACCAGATGTCTTGTAATTTAACTTTTAATATCTAATAATGATATTTTAGTTCATGCTAAAACGAGCAATAAGAAATTATAATTGGAAGAACTCCAAACTGTGATATAAGAATAGAGGACAAACTGCTGTCAAAGGCTTAGGCGACAATTAGATTTGATGGAGACAACTGGGTTCTCTAAGATGGCTTTGAAGGTAGAGAGAGTACCAATGGCACCTGGCTATATCTAAACGAAGACTGCGATATTGAGAATGGTATGGTTTTCAAAAGTAATCAGACCTTCTTCGAGGCAACTATCTTATAGCAAGATTCTTGAGAATATAGTTTTTATTAGCAGAGTTAGAATCGAACTGCTCTATAAAATGTATTAGTTGTGTTGGTGAATATTTTGTTAATTTTTAATGATTAAAATAATGTCAATATAAAATCAACAATTAAACGAACGAAAGGTAACATCAACTTCAACATCATTGCATCAACATCTAATTCCTTATTTCTGTCATTATTAATATTAGTTTTATTTATTAATATTTAGGTCTTAGGAAGACCCAATATGGAAGTTGAAGGTGTTATTATTTGCATTAATATCTCCTAGAGTAGCTATAGTAGTGAAGGTGCCAAACAAACTTTCTGGATCTGGAAGGTTGTCCTAGTCTATGTCATCTACATCAGTCATCTCTACATTTTATTCGTTTATCTGGTCCTGTCTATTATGCTACTGAAGGGCAAAATTAAAATTATTTATCCTCTAGTTGATCTGCTCTACCATCCTCCGCTTTTCCTCTTGCCTCTACTTTAATATCATGTTTTTGAAATCGAATTCTAGTTCAGTCTTGATAAATGCGGAGAAAATCATGGCTCTAAATGCTTTTTAATATTGCTTTTTCTGGTCAGAATATCCGCGATTTAACTCAGGTATCATTAAAGGCTCTAATATATCATCATCCTCATCTGAAGCTGTTCAAATTAATTCAATAATAGTAAATTACCAATTAATGTAAATGGGTTTTAAGTAGAGCAACCAAGTTTTTCAGCCAAATCCGCAGCCTCTTTTGATTCTTCTGACTCTTAGACCTGCCCATATAGTTCTGGATGGAGACTAATCATCTCATCTAGGTGCTTATGCTATTCTATGAGGAATTAATTCACGTCAGTTGAGAACTAAACCTTTGATCGCTGATCAATATGAAACATGACAAATAGAGATTGAAGGAATTATTCTGAGTCCATAAATTCATGCAGACTCTTTTCCTTCAGCAAATTTCTAATCACTTAATGAAAGAAACTATTAATGAGGTCCTAGGGAATTATCTGGTTAAGATTTAAATCCATGAATGAGTTAGCAAGGGGGCTACAATTTTAGGTCTTCGTAAATTTATTATTTTCCAGCTTTGTGGCCAACTCATTTGAAAAAGCCTTAGCTAAATAATGCTTCTTGGTAAGAACGTAATAATACTCAAGCTCCTAGATTTTGTGAAATTCAGAAGTCTCATATGCTACACAATGTTATATATAATCCAGTATAGTATGGGAATTTCTTTAAAATTGCTTCAGGAGTTTTCTAACACTACTTCTTAGACTCATTTCTAAATCCTTATATCTGCCCAATGATTCTCCTTAATTGTCAGTCTTATCTGAAAGTTTAATCATTCTGACAAAAAATACCTGAAAGATGACTTTAAGGAACAGTGAGCGACATAATTGGGTTTCCACTTTCGAGATTGAACTCCATTTGATGCACAAGATTGATCACTTTCCTAAAAGTCTCCTATTTCTCTGCTAATTCTTCAATTCTCTCAATGCAGTGTACAGCAGCAATTTCCTTTTTAGTTATTTCTATTAGTTTTTCTTTTTGAGATCTGTAGATTTCATTGATCCAAATAGAATCCATGAGCTCTAACAACAAGAAATCACAAAAGTATGGACTTTTCTTTACAGTCTCCTTCTATAAGATTCCTAATCTCTAAACAGTTTCACCAAAAGATTCTTGGACTACAAAGTTTTAGGTAACTTTTTTGAACAAAAATCTTAAATTTTTCTCTTTAATGATATAATCTTCAAGGAATACGTAAAAATTTTATTTTTGAGGTGGGGCCATGTTGATTTGTTGGAGAATGAAATCTAGTTGGTTATTATGAGCATTACATAGTAATTTGAATTACCTATTTTTAGATTTAAGATCCACAGTATTTATTAGGGAAATTCAGGAATAAGATTAAAGAGTTTAATATTGAAAACAAACAAAAAAATCGTAATTTTGTTATCAAAATTAAGTAATGGTTAAAAATCAACTTACCTTAATGTATAGGCTGATACACTTTTGTACAGTAAAGTTATACCCTCAAGGTTGTCTTGATTCATTTGGTTCGGTTGGATTGAAAAAGGATTGAGTTCATCTTTAATAAAGCACATAGAATCGGCTTTTTAAAAACTTTATAAGCTTTCAAAAGCCATATCAAGTCCGTCTTCCATATCAATGTCCAAAAAATCGAGAGCTAAAAGAATAAAATTAATTGGAAAATAGCATACGATCTGGCATGTTAAGACTCAGTAGACTCGGCCTCTGTTCTGGCTACTTTGATAGTGGCGCTAAAGTATTAAGATTGTAAATTCCTTATTCATTTTAGTCATATATCAGGGATAGTATAACTGCTTTTGCAGCTTCACTACTTTCGATTTGACTTTAGAGTTCTGTAATTGTTTCCCAAAGCAGCTATTTGGTATAGTCCACTGAGTATTTCTGGAAGCAGTTGTGATAGTTTTAAACTAGGATCTTTTCTGTCCTGTAGAATAGACCCTTCTAGGTGAAGTTCTCTCTAGTAAGTTAGGGAAGAGCAAAGCAGGGGTTCTCGCAAAGAGATGGATCTAGAAATATTTCGCGAGCGAATTCGTCTGGTTCTTGCATAAAGGCTGAGTAGAATTCATTGAATGTAATTTTGACGAAATTCTGCTTATTATTGAGAGCCCGCATATATAGATCTCTCCATTTTCTGTAGGTCTCCTCAATATAGTTGCTCTATTTATTGTCCTCCATTTTTTCAAACAATTAACTGCGAACCTATCTGCTTGAAGTGGCTTCGAGTGCTAGGTCGAAAGGATTCGTAGAGACTTATTTACTCATTTATTGGATATTCTTAACATTTTGAATGCATAATGAGGATTACTTAGTTAAAGGTAGAAAACTTGCAGAAGATGCCATTGTTGAGCTACTAGTAATAGAACTCATCCGCTTAAAGAATACCTCAGTACATGGAAATTATTCAAAGAAGAAACTCTAAAAGTTAATAATTGCTCGCCTTTTCAGATAGGAAACCTCGTTGCAGGGCTCTAAGAAATTGTCAAGTTTACTTTTGATTTTCTTGTTGGAGGCGGAGAGCATCACTATCTGGAAGAAAGATAGATACTCACATACTATGATGAGAACATTGCGACTTAAATCATTTAGTCTTTTGACTTCATTCTTGAACCCCTAGCAATTAAGGTACTAATAACAGGTTAATTCCTATGTTTCGTAATGTGTTTGAGCAATCATTGTACATTCCATTTGAAGATGTTTAAGCTTTCGAAAGCTGATATTTAAATTATAATAAATAGTTAAATAAGTCACTACTTCTGATAGAAAGCTATGACATGTCAGTTAAAATAGATAGATATAGTATTAATAATTAAAAACTAAGGGTTTCAAACGGTGATAACGAAAAACTATACTTGAGAGAATGACATCCCTGCATTATAGTCCTTAATAGATAGAAACAGACCCATGATACACACTTCAGAATCTAATAAAGCAATCGAAGTCATTTTTATCATTCACATATATTTAAAAAATAAATAATAAATCATTGATATTTCTTACAAATATAGATTGCATTAAATCTCTCGGGGTTTTGGGGTTTTGGGGAGATCGGAAGAGCGTCGTGTAGGG